AGCAATTTATGTACACTTTCTTCTCAGTAAATTTATTATAATTATTTTATACGAATATTAAATATGCATTTAGACATTTATATTTTATATTTATAGATTTTTATATATATATATATATATATATATATATATATATATATATATATATATATATATATATATATATATATATATATATATATATATATATATATATACCGTTAACGGTATTTTCCTACATCATCATATTTTCGCATTAAATAATTAGCCAAAAAAAAAAAATTAAATTTCATAGTCTAATAAAGGGTTTAAAAGCTTAACCCAATCATAAGATAAAGAAAACCCTTTATGAAGTCGTCAAAAAAACAAATTGTTGTTCAATACGACGTATTTATATACAAACAACCCTTTTAGGTAAAAAAAAAAATCTTTAGACACTTAACAGTGTAGCAATAACGCCAGTAACTCTCTGTCGCTGAAACAGACTAGACGATATCCGTATAATAAATTTCATCATTCGCTTTAAATTAGACACCCCAACCCTACCTTGACTTGACCTCTTTCTAAAAGTAACTGATATGTTGATACAAATTATTAACCCTTACGCCCCTTATTGAAATACTTGCTTCAGCCGTTTCCATAGTAATTAATTTTACGAATGAATATGCTTATAAAGATACATAAATTTCAAGATTAGTTATTCCCAAAATTTCGCTTGAGGATGAAACAGGGCTTGATACTTTAATTCAATTTAATTTTAATAATTATATTGAATTTTTTGGGCTCGTGTTTTTGAAACGTGAGAACTCTTATGTAGCGAAGGAATCATATTTTTAAAAATAATTATAATTTGGGCTCTACTTTTGTAGTGAGCACTGTTTTTTTAAAAATAAAAACAAAGATACTAAAGAACTTCGGATTATTTACCTGACGTGTTCTTTCTTATTTTTATATATATTTGCACACACACACACACACACACACACACACACACACACACACACACACACACACACACACACGCATATATATTAATAAATATACATATACCTTCATTTGGAGTGTGACTTAAGTTTCGTTGTTTTACCAACTCATCAGGCACGAAATATTACTTATGATTTTTAAATCGCACTCCAAACGTATATGTATATATATATATATATATATATTTCTTAGCTCTCTCTAACCACATTGAGTACTGTTTTGTTTACACCTTAAAGTAAATTACCTAAATATTTATTTGCTTACCTGTATATGAACGCTAACGCGCGCATATACGGTTCCAAATATATAATTATTTGATCCCCCCCTCTCTCTCTCTCTCTCTCTATATATATATATATATATATATATATATATCAATTTGTTTAGACATTATTTTAATGGACAATCATATTTGTGTAGATGTGCAGGATTCGAAGCTAGGTTTTCGCTAGCTTCGAATCCTGTCGGAGGGCGCATACTTTTCTAATAAGTTTTCTTAAATATTCAGACCGGTAGATATAAATAAATATACTGTTTAATAATAAAAAACAGTGCATCTAATCAAATATGAGTATATTATATATATGTATATTATACAAGCATATTATATATAATATTTATATTATGTAAGTATATTGTGTATATTATGCAAGTATAATATGTAAGTATGTTTTGTAGATTATACAAATGTATTATGTATATTATTTATATTATGCAAGTATATTTTGTATATTATGTAAGTATATCATACTCAACGTACGTCTGTGTCTTTAGATTTCGCGTTGCGCATTTTTCATTTTCTTTCATCTTTTCAAATTGAACATACCAGTTAAACAATCTCACCTTACATCTAGTGTTAGTCGTGAAAATGTGATAGCTGATCACATAGAGTTTATTTTCTGGCTTACCCTTTTTTGCTGGAAATAAGGAGTGGGTTACGTTAACCGACTGGATTAGTCATTTCATTTGAAAAGATGGACAAGAAGAAAAGTGACGATACAAAACTATATATCTTTTACAACTTTGGGATTTCAATGCGTGGCTAGGGCAGTTTAGAATTAAAAAAAAAAATTATATTCTAGCTTTATCGCTATTATTTGTAAGTGTGGGCAGGTTAACGGTTATCAATGCCGAAGGTGGAATCAGCAAGTCAAATTCAAATTGTGGCTACGTCTGATGCTTTCACTTTCGCAAATATTCCCTTGGAAAAGAAATGAATCCATCCCTTCTCCAATTCTAAAGGTCTAAAGGGTAGACTGAACTCTTTAACCTTGGATGGGAACAAGATGGAAAATTCTGAATTCCAAACTATGGAGAATGCAACGGGAGAATACTACCTATCTTTTACAAGAATGCGTGGCAATTCATATATAATAATTAAAAATTTGTGGATAATCGTAATCACCTGCTTCATCTAGGGATATGGTATTAAAAGAAAAAAATTAATTTCCTGCAAAAAATAAATAAAACTTAATGATTGTAAATTTAAAATAGAAACAAACCTACAGATTTAAAATCTAATAGTAACCTTAAACTTTCTACAGCGTATTTATCCGAATCATTTTCAGTGTTGACTGGAATTAAACCAAACAATATGAACCAAATATAAACCAAACAAACTAAAAATAGACTAATTAACAACATTAAAATGGCATTGAGAGAGCAGCAATAACAAATATTAAGGCAACATTTGACTCGAGCAAAAAAAAAAAAAAAAAAAAATGGCATCCTTCATATTGAAGATATTTTTTCCTGTTTTTATATTTATTTTTTATAGTTATATTTGAAAATTAAAAATCTTAAATTTTCATTGCTTTATGAAAAAATGAAGGCTGCGACAAATTTCTGAACTTTTTTTGGCTTCTGAGAGAAAACATTTTTATTTCGTATTTCAGTATTAATTAATTTAAAATTTAACTTTTTGCAGGAGACGTTGTACTTGAGATGATTTTCCTGTTCGTTTAAGAATTTTGTTTTTGCATACTTTTCATTTTGTATGAAGGAATTTTTCTGTATATTTCATATGAACAAAATTGATCTTTAATTTGATTATTTAAAACTCGATAACTATTGCGAGAGCAACAAAAACACGAAATTATTTTTGTAAAGGAAAACAATGAAGTTATTTTTGTGAAAAATATATGAATTATTTCCTGAACGCTTATTTAGGGAATGAAAGAAATAAATGCAATTTTGTTTTCCTGGGAGAATAAATAAATACGCAGGTTAAGTCTTTTCTTTAACAACGAAGAAACTGTCTAACGAGTAGTGTTTCCTCATCCGAAAAAAAAAAAAAAAAAAACATAGACAAAAGATTTTTACGCGTCTGGTCTTCCTTAGCAAAAATCGCTAACAGTTGTTTTACCGGAAATTGTCTGAAGTCTTTCAGATAGCGAAATATGTTTTTTTTCTTTTACCAACGCCTTTACATTGGTGGTGACTGGAGTCACGGTGGTTTTCTTTTAAGATGCAAAAAATTTGGTGAGGTTTAATATAAATGACAATGAAGTACTTCAGTTATGAATCTTTTTTTAATAGCTTCGTTTCGCTGGATAGATTTAACATATACGGCAAAGCAATCATATTCTGAAGGAACTGCAACTAGCTGATTATGAAAGTACAATAATAATAATGATTTTCTATGTAGAGCAAGACAAATTTTCTCACCCGAATCTATCTTGCACTTTTATAATTCTACCATTCATTTGTGCATTGAATATTGCTACCACATCAGGTCTGATGCTTCTGTCATACAGATGGTATCGAAGCTATGACTAGCTTGGATGGGATCTGACCGGCTTGGACATGCTATGGCCAGTTAAGACCAGCTTAGACCAGCGACCCGAATGAAAACACTTGGGTCCCCACGATAAAAATCAACCTTGTGTCACAACCTGACTCAATAATGGGGGTGGAGGGATTTCAAGTAAATCAACTTCTGCCATGTATCGACTGCTTCTTGACAAAATCCAAAGAATCTGCAATGTTATCCGTCCTTATCTAGCATCTCGGCTTTAATCAATTTCTCATCACCGTAAAAGTAGTTTCTTGTTAGAAGTTAAATTCTTTTCCCTGAAAAGGACGATAACTCAAAATACAAATGAATTACCGCCCTTTTCTGTCAAGTCGAGGGCGCCACTTCTGAATTGAACATGGCGACAAGCTGACATGCACGTGCAATTCATTGTTTGAATCCATACTATATTTGCTGTTCCCAGTGAATGAATAAAAATTGTTTATTTATGTGTTAAAATAGACTTGTCTTTTATTTTCCTTCGTTTTTGCTTATCTCAACAGCTTGAGATATAACACTTCTCAATGCGTTTTCTATAAATACTTTCGTGGTAATTGTTCTAATGAGTTTTCCTTTTTGGTACCTAGACTTGACGAAATTAACTAGATTGGTAGGTAGGTCTCATCAAATTTAAATGCGACACCATTCGTAATATTCTGAATACTGTTCTTTTAATTGCCCTTTCTTCTCAGTCACGTTTTCTCAGTTTCCTTCACTCTCAGTGACTCCTTGCGTCTCAGAGGCTTTATTTCCCTGCCTGGGATGAAATGATTAAAAACGAAAAACAAAAAAAATATTTCTTCTGATTCCTATTCCAGATTGTTATTTTTTTATTCAGTAGGTGATAACAAGCCACTGTGCAGTCGTTAATCTTATCCTCGACAGAAAGAGTGGCTACAATGAAGTGGAGTTGTTAGTGACGCGTAATCAAAAATTGGCAATGATGCTTAGAGAGATAAAAGATATGAGTAAGAAAATAAAACACAACGCAGACCAATTAAGCGATAAGGGGAAAAAATGGCTGTAAATGTGAAATTAATTAGTTCTGACGAAACAAGTGCTTTTCGTGGTTTTATGCTATAAATTATTGTAGCATTTAAAAAAATTTTACTGATTCATCATAGAATAAAGATTTCCACCATCTTTCGACTTTGCGATCAAAATAAGTTTTACCTCTGAGTCATACCTACAAATACGATCGGTATTCATCTCACAGAGGAAACCTCAAACTATCTTTTTTTTTTACAGCCATATCACGTTGAAAAACCGGTTCCCGTATGATCACGAAAGTTAAGCAACGTTGAGCTTGGTCAGTAACTAGATGGGTGACCACTTGGGAATAGCAGATGCTTTAATCTTGAATGTACGTATGGGGTAATGGATAGCGGCTTGGAATTGTTAATCGGATAACGGAGTTACAATTCCAGTTCGTTATATTCATTTAAATGTGCAAGTACCCTTTGGAAAGTTATGAATACACCTATTCTTCCCTAGTTATGGGTTAATTAGGAAGACTTTTACTACTAAACCGTTATTATTTCGCATCACCAAATACTTATAATCTAAAAATATTTTCTGGCTTTAAATAATTTGCAAAGGGTTGATAACCCATAAAAAACAAATCGGTCAAAGTATCTTTTCTATGATTCTGCTTGTTTGTATGCGTTAAGCTTTTCTAAGATCAAAGTGTAGTATCAGTTCATTCTCTTGTCCTTCTAAGCAGGAATAACCAACAGTCTCTATTATTGTTAGACTTGTTAACATGATTATTATATTCTTGTACAGAGGTTCAAAGTGTAGTATCAGTTCATTCTCTTGTTCTAAGCAGGATTAACCAACAATCTGTACTATTGTTAAACTTATTCTAGAGAGGATCAAAGTGTAGTATCTGTGTGAACAAAGGCAACCCCCCCACAAAATAAAAAGCAAACAGAATAACAGTATAGATCAGAAAAGAGTGTATTTATTTTATTTCAATCAATATAAGGCTAAAGAGGTATCCAATGTAGATGGCTGTTGTGTAGTGTTGCATGAGTTTAAGAAAAGGCAAAAAGTGCAGTTCATGAGGTTATGTAGGAAAGACTTGAAAAGGCCAAGATTATAGTGATCGGAAAACAACCCTCTGGCAGTCTGCCCTACACGCTTCTATACACGAATCTGACATTTTTCTGCTTACCAATGTACAGATCCTTTTTTTTTTGAGCAGAAATCAGTTATTACTTTCTAACTGAGAACCCTACACGATAGTGTTTGGCAGGAAGGAATATAAAACAGAGAGAGAGAGAGAGAGAGAGAGAGAGAGAGAGAGAGAAGGAAGAAGATATATGTATATATATATAATCGGATGTCTAGACACATACATGTTATACAGCGAAACAGTCTTGTATGTGGATGACTATACAATATATATATATATATATATATATATGTATAAGTTTAATTAAAAAACAGACTGCCTTAAGGGTCCATTGATTATATTTTATTTCCCCAGAAATGGGATTTTTTTCCTGGTTCCTCAGAGCACATTTCCAAGCATAAAAGAAAATGGTTTAAAAATTTGCATATTATTATTTTTATACAAGTTTCTGAGGGGTAGTTTTAAGTTGATGTAAGGTGATAGAAAGAGGGGGTGATGGAGGAGGACGACAGATATGATCGAAATTAGAGAGGGAAAGGAGAGATAAGAAGATGTTTAAATCTTTATTAAAATGCTTAAGAGTACATTTACCTACTAACTATTCCTGATATTTAGCACTTTAACCCATAAATATAGCATACCTTATATATATATTAAACCGGTTAATTTATAATACATACATATATATATATATATATATATATATATATATATATATATATATATATATATATGTGTGTGTGTGTGTGTGTGTATTATAAATTAACCGGTTTAAAATATGTTTTTTTCGCTCCACAGTAATAACCATGTTTCAAAAATGGATGCTAAAAACTTGAAATTTAATTTTGTAATTAAATTAAAATCATCTTTAAGCGAATATTGGAGTAACTTATTTTTTAAATTTACTGAGTTTTAAACGCACACAAATATTCATAATTCACTGTTTCCAAGGATACAGAGAAATCCGATCATTCAGACAAGGGGTGGTAGCGTGTTCATTTTTATTAACTTTTGTTGTATTTTAGATTTCTTTGCACACTAGACTTTGGAAGCCTGAGCTCTAATGATGCACGTCTTACAGACTTTCTTGGACGTGCTGTAAAGAATTTTTCTATGGATGCAACACTTTCGTCGCTGATACATGGCCTTCCAGACCGTGGCTTATCATGGACGGAGCTCGTCTCTTTAAGTTTTTTCATCCATTTAGCAATAGTGTTCCTATGAGGTGGTTCTTTATTGTATTCAATTCTAAACTTTCTTTCTACAGCAATAGTAGATTTCAGTTCAGCCAACCAAAGGACACTGTTTACTTTTTCCTCAGTTTAAGCCATGGAACAAATTGATTCTGGCAAAAAGAAAATATATTTTTTACTTATCTAAAAATTGTTGCAAATTTTGTGGTAAAGAATTAGTCAATAACTATACTTAAAACTAGGTACATTAAACTTTATAACATTTTTTACAGATTATTTCTATCGCAAATACAAATAAAGTTATAAAGTGCACACGAACTTTATGGACATCCTGTATACGTTTCTGAAAAATTATTTGAGGAGTATTAGCAAATTTAAAGTGTAATTAATCTGATTTGAAACAAATAGACAGC